AGCGACATTACGATTGCGGCGGGAGCGTTTGAGAGACCTCAGCGTTGATGCCTTTCAGGTAGGCGATTTTCCGAAATACCTTACTCCCCTTGATCATATTTTTTTTTTTTTTGTTTACTACAGGCTCAGCAATTACAGCAAGAAAAGGGACTTATCAGTAAGCCGATAGTCTTGGATTGGCCTATAGTAAGTTTTTCTACAAAACGACACCCTGTTTCATGTTTTTAAATTTTGTTTAAATTTACAGAACTTCTTTCTCCAAATTGATGATAGGCTCCATGCCAATGCTCGTGCTGCTGTTGCGGCCCCCGCTACCCCTGCTGCGGAGAATGCCCCGTCGGTGGCTTCGGAAATGGCCTATTTCTCCGATTCCGAGGCCACTTTAAATATCGTGGAGGAGCGGGAACGCCTGATGGAACTGCAGAGGCGGGATCGCGACATTGACCAGGATTTAGAGATGCTGGATTCGGATCGATCATCCGATTCCTTTGAGTTTTTCATGCCTAACGTGGCGCGACCGGAAGAGCAACCCGATATGGAAGACGGTAGAGATGATGCCATGGATGAGGAAGAGGAGGAGGAGGAGGAGGAAGACTTAGACGCGGTAACCTTACTTATTTAGATTATTATTTCAACCGCTTTTCCATTATCACAGCACAATTATTATTATTCATACGCTATTCTTTCGCTTCCCGAAGGAATTCTCAATTTGCTTTATTCTCATTTTCAGATGTTTGAACGAGACCACCTAGAAGGAGATCCCTGGGAAAACGGCAACCTTTACGAACTGGAATTTGATGCTAGAATAGAACGCCGAGAAGAAAACCGCGAAGATAGTCCCATGGACGGAGAGGATGAGGAAATCTTATAAACGCTTATTTTTTTTTTCTTAATTTTCAGGTGATTTTTTTTTTCTTCCAGGAAACGACCGAGCCTCATTAATATTGTTTTCAATAAGATAATACTCGAAATAGCGAATATTACTTTATTAAAAATAATAGAGATAGGTCAAATAGTTTCTCAGAAAAATCTGGGGGCGTGCGTAAAGCCTGATTCATAAACTCTGGCGGTCAGACATGAACGGTGGAGTTTATGAATCAGGCTTTAATAAATCGGCTTCAACGGCGAGCCAGCCTGTTGCTGTTTTGGAATTAATTTTGAGGTAAAAATTCAAAAACCTAACTATATATGTAGCGTGATGATTTTTTTTTTTATAGGCAAATCGTCAACGCGAAAAACAGGTCGAGACGTGTTTTCGTTCCAAGTTCTGGTTTAGACACACTGAAAATCGCTCGAACACCCATCAGAGAACGAGCCAGATCCAGAGAGCTTCTAGAGAGACCCGGAGAAACACAGGAGGTGATGCTTTGCGGGGAGGTCCGTGACGAATGAAAAAAAAAAAAAGGAGCTCGGACGAGGTAAACTAGATAAATTATTATTTTGGCTGATAATTACAGTATAATTATATTATTACATAATTCATAGTTCCAATTAAAATTGACTTTTTCCTGCTCATTTTTAATTTGCTACAAATGTTTTTATTTTTCGTTGGTATCTATAATTTTCAATTTGGACTATGGATGCCTACCTACCTAGTAAAATGAAATTATTGACATGATTTTATTGGGTTTCAGAAGGTGAAAAACCACGACAACAGGCTAGCGTTCACCGATGCCAACATACGAAACATTAGACTTTATTTAAATTCCGATGTATATCCGTACGAGCGATGGAGTCTCGATTTTACTAAAAAGCTAATTACCTCCGTCTATGACTCGTATGAAAACTTCCAAAGCAGCTATTATAGGCGAGAAATAAATGACCCAATAATGGATATTGGCGAATTTCTGCACACTTATTCTACATTATGCTTTTCTCACCTACAATCCGATGGATGGAAGCGTACGCACTGGAAACTTTAATTTTTAGTTTTATTTATGTTTATACAGTAAAATAATAAAGTAGTAGGTAATACCTTAATCAATTATCTCGTTTAATTTCGTAATTGAAAATTGAGTTTTCATATTATTTTTCCCCGTACACCAAATTACATTAAAATTATCAGCTGGACAAGTCCATACAAGTTATCAAATCATCTTCTTCAGCCTTAGCTCTCTCGCTCTTTCAAATTATCAGCTGGACAAGTCCATACAAGTTATCAAATCATCTTCTTCACCCTTAGCTCTCTCGCTCTTTCAAATTTTCCTCATAAATATGGATAATGGCCACATACTTGTGTACCGTGGAATTAGGAAAGAAGAAAGAAATTCCGTAATTGAAAATTGAGTTTTCATATTATTTTTCCCCCGTACACCAAATTACATTAAAATTATCAGCTGGACAAGTCCATACAAGTTATCAAATCATCTTCTTCACCCTTAGCCCTCTCGCTCTTTCAAATTTTCCTCAATTAGCTCGCATCATGATGTCTACAAGCTTAGGACACAATTTCTTGAGATACCCTGATAGCTCAGTGGTTAGCACTCTTGATTTTGGATCTTGGGGTCGCAGGTTCGAGCCCAGACTTTTCAGACTTTTTTAATAAAATACAAAAAAAAAAAGTCGTCAGTACTGCCGCCACCGCCACGGCCGCCGCCGCCATCAGCTATTGGGCGACGGCCATAAGTTGGCGGGCATATTGTACCACAGCCGCCGCCGCCAACAGAAACCATTGGACGGCCGCCATTTTCAACAACAACCAATGAATGGACAGGAGGAGGAGCCTAATTCAGCAGGAGGGACGGGACCAGCCCTGATTGGCCGAACAAAGAAACCTAATGGCGGCAAAGGGGCGGGGCAACATCGCAAAAGAGTCCATAAATGGGAAAAGGGGAGGAGCTATACAGCAGGAGGGCGGGGCCACGCCCCCTCAGGAGGCAGGAGTGGGGATGGTTTGTAGCGGCGGGATATCTACTCATACCGCCACCTGGTCTTCAATTTGCCTTGTGGTGGCGCGGGCTTCGTTATTTCTGACGCACTCTAAAACTGTAATTGTTAGAAAATATAAATAATAGTTATTTGTATACCAAGGCCGCGAAGTGCCTTTTAGCGTACGTAGAGAAAAGTTATCGCCGAGGCCGCTTGCGGCCGAGGCAAGATAATCTCGAGGACGCTAAAAAGTTTCGCGGTCATGGTATACACACTATTTTTTGTGCAACCATGAAAATTATGTGGAATTATAGAAAAAATGTACTCCTTTCAACAAACATGTGGAACTAATTACCAGTTTGATGTATAACCTGGTGGCTATGGTGGCACAGCGTTTCCATGGATGTCATGGATGACATATTTTGCAAGTAAACAAATACACAAAAAATTTTGACGGTTCTCAAAAAATCGTGAAAATATCCGACAGCGATACAGATGTTTCACTCTCTTGCACTCCTCCAGAGCTAAAAAATATGGTTCAATCAGCTATTTCTGAGTTCATACCTGGAAAACTAAGCGGCAATATGAAAATTGTTACTGCGAGTTCAAAAAATTGGTGTGACAAACAAAACGTCAAAATGGTGTCTGAAAGCATATTGGCTAATTTAATGCCGAAATGGGAAGTTTTGAGAGTTCAATTCAAAAACACTGGATTATTAGTTGCTTCAGCTTCAGGAGTAAATATTAGTAATAATGCAAACTGTCATGTAAGTGTTAATATTTATCCTAAATAATTTATGTTGTTCTGAAGAATTTGGAAATAAAATTTACTTATTGTTGTTGTCAAAGTGTCAAATTTTGATTTATAGTTTCGCGGCCGTCACCAAGGGCAACGGCCGCGAAATTGAATTTCGCGGACTGTGTGGCGGCCGCGAAAGCTCATTTTGCGGTTGGTTGCACAAAAATGTCATTTTTTGTTACCTGTTATTAGTTTTATCAGGTGTGTATGCACACTAAAGTTCTTTTTGCTCTTGTGGCCTTTGAAACTGTATGTTTTGGCCAGTTGGTTCACTATAATAATTTTCATGGCCTTTCGGACATATTCATTGAGATTGTGTCCTCCTTCCAATGATATCATTCTTAACTGAAACACAAAAAACAAATTTAGATTCTTATAAGTATTGAAATATATTATCTTTGTTCGCGGGTCCGATTCCGAATCGGTTCAGAACTAATTCGGGATTGTCGTAGAGCGCATGCCTAGTTAAGAATCGGTTCAGGATTTCTTTTTACCGCGAACGATTTTGGAACCGAAAACCGAATACTTTTAAACATTATGTGATTTGTGAACCTTGGCTATTTGATTTTCATAAATCAAAAAGAATAACAGAACAGATATAATATTTATATTTATTCAAAATTTGAAAATGCTCTATACATTGTTCATCCCTGAAATGTGGCATCCTTCTCAAAATTACATCGCTTTTAGGAATTTAAATAGGCTCTAATTCTTCCTTGTCCTCATCGTTAGATGACAAATGGTCCGACCAGTAGTAGTAGGTACTTAGATGAAAAAAAAATCACTAAAATTGTGCATATAAATAAATATAGTAGATTAAATAGAGATAAGTAACTTACATAATACTGTAATGCAAATTCAGTAAACTATAAACTCCGTCGGAAAAAACTAGCGTATAGTTTATCGTTTCAGCGTAAGAACAAATAAAAAACCCAAATTTCCATAACGCAAACACAAATAAACACCAGTCAGCTGACAAGTCTGACAAAATTGCGCATGAGCAGCCGAACCGAACTTTTAGTCCTAACAAAAATCCTGGGACTGCTAGAACCGATTCCGAATCAATTAAAACCAATTCTATGTGATCCGCGAACGTAGAACTGTTACTAAAAATTCAGAATTTAATTATCCGCGAACGCAATTTTTTACACTGCGCATGCGAATAGTCCCTGAACCGATTCGGAATCGGACCCGCGAACAAAGCTTATCCTTTCACAATTCGATGTCCACAGGTACAGGTAAAATTTGTCACCTTTCAATGCTATTTGATAGGGAAAGGTGATAAATTTACCTGTACCTGTGGAAATCAGATTGTGAATAGGATATTATATACTTAATAACTTACAACATAATTATAAAACTCCTTGTCGTCACCCAATACAGAATTTACTTCCTTTAGTGCATCATCATCTTTTATTGGAAAAAGATGTTTGAATCGCTCCAAGAGTTCTTCATTTTCAGGAGTGGATTTGTTGGTTATTGCAAGTTTTTTATTAAGATCCTTGATTAATTGATTTTGTTCTCTTAATAATGCATTGTTAGTAATAGTTAGCTTCACTAGCTTTTTCAACACATTGTGATCTAAAAATTGAAAGTTATTGATTAATTTCCTTTTTGACAATGAAATTTTACCATTTTCTTCATCGTTGCAAGCAATTCCAGCTGCGTCCTCATCAATAGGAGAAATTGCTAAAATAAAAATAAATATATATTTTCAAATTTTTGATTAACCACCTACAATGAGAAATTGTACCATTATCCTTTCTTGTGAAACCCTCTCGTGATGAAATGCTCTTTTGTGATGAAAAACTCTTTTGGTTGACAACTTGATGTCGTGGTATAGCCCCAGTGCTCTTTCCTGTTTTGGTTATACCTTTGCCTTAAAAAAAAGCCAATTGACCTGTCTCCCATAAATAGAAAAAGGTAGCTTAATTGTGATCAATATAAGTTGGAAAGTAATAAAAGATGACTTGCGCGCGCAACTAGTGGGTTGCAGTGTAGCCAGTTTGTATTGTAGCAGAACAAATCTAGACAATACAGATCGAACATTATACTGATAAAAAGAGACTTTTTACAACGTGTTATACAACGCTTTAAATCAGACAAAAGAAGAGCTTTAAAGTGTATTATAATATCGTTTGCACTTTCATTTTGATAAATGTTTCATCGAGCAACATCGCACAATGAAAGTGCAAAGGAATATGTCAAGTATAATCTGACATAATTTTTTAACACTGCGGTGAGTTCAGAAGTGATACGTAAAGTATTAGTTTGCTCTTTGTCGAATTATACGTTACAAAGAAAGAAGGAAAGATAGTAGATAATCAAAGGGGGTATGACTACAAAATTCCGACCATAACCTCAATCTTTCATTCTTGACACGTGGTGGATGCGCCGTCGTTGACACGAAGGTGGATGCGCCGCCATGGCCCCATCTTGTCGACAGATGGCGCCATGGGACCTGCTCCCGCAGGGCTCTGCCCCCCAAAAAGGGGGCCCGCAGGGCTCCGCCCCCCAAAAATGGGGCCCGCAGGGCTGCGCCCCCCAAAAAGGGGCCCCCGGATTTTAATATGGGTACCAGAAAAAGGGGTGGGGGAAATGTTTTCCCGCCATTTTGTCAACCGTCACCTGTCAAACGTCACCTGTCAAACGTCACCTGTCAAACGTCATCTGTCACCTGTGATGACGTCATACCGGGTTATTGCGGTGAATTCTTGCAATTACAGGTTCCTGTAATATGGAGTTTGCGTGGAAGAGATTGTTCCGAGTCGTTTCGGGTTCTGTGATGACGTCATAGCGCCCTGGGTCACGTCCGTGGAGTCATTTAGAGTACATAGTGCAAAGTTTGATTCAGGGTTCGCGTTCTGTGATGACGTCATAGCGACCTGGGTCACGTCCGTGGAGTCATTTAGACTACATAGTGCAAAGTTTGATTCAGGGTTCGCGTTCTGTGATGACGTCATAGCGACCTGGGTCACGTCTGTGGCGCCATTTAGAGTACATAGTGCAAAGTTCGATTCATGGTTCGGGTTCTGTGATGACGTCATAGCGACCTGGGTCACGTCCTTGGCACCATCTAGAGTACATAGTGCAAAGTTCGATTCATGGTTCGACCTGGGTCTCGTGGGTTACGTCAGTTTGTGTCGGTGGCACCATCTAGCGTACATGTGACAAGTTCGATGTGTCTTATAACAGGATGCTGTGGTGGTGACGTAACTATGAGGGTCCAGCAGCTAGCTTCATGTTGTACCTGGTAGAGGGTGTTCGAACTCAAGGATGAAACACACCTACAGGATTGCTTATTGACCTCGTGTGTTACCATTTACGACGCCATAACTAAGCCATCAGCTGTTTAAACAACCTACGTCAAGGCGAGAAATAACATGCTGCTTACGTCACAACTGGTGATTTAACGTTGGGGAGAGAGTGGATTTGTTCCACACAGGCCTTATGAGGATAGGCTATCCTGTAGTAGTAGTGTGTATTATCCTTGGTTGAAACCAACATTTGATGGGGAAGGGGCCTCGTTTTTTTTTTATTAAAAACATACATTTTTCAAGACAACGATTTCAAAAAGCGAATATTTTCCATCAATAAACTGCTTAATGATCTAATCATTTTGGTGGTACGTCTTGGGAGAAACACTGCGTTGTCGTCAAATTCAACGTGTATTTCAAATCCATAGCTAAAAATATGCCACAATTGTATCGATTACCTAAGTATATAAGATATTTACTTACTAGGTTAAAATAATAATTGTTGCTCAATAATTTTATAATCCTCACTGTGACGAGAAAGAATACAACACTGTGGGCACCCCTTTTAATTCGAACTTCGCTTGACATCTGTTGATCTACCTTAATTTGTATAGTTTACTGGTTCCAGTAAAGATTTGCAATTATTTTGAGGTCTGTATCGTAGAAAATATTGGGTACACTCACTTTCTACGAGGACTTATAATTTTCTCAGCGTTTTTGATCCTTTGTTATAAAAAGACAGGTCTTGTTGATTGATTTCAAATCCATATCTAAAATATTCATAATTGTATCGATATTAGTAAGTATATAAGATATTCACTTACTTGGTTAAAATGATAATTGTTGTGCAATAATTTTATAGTTCACCGAGTTTCAAACAAGACTAAAAGAGCTTAGTTATTATAAAATCCGATTTAAACTTTGAAGTAATCACATACAAAAAACGCTGCCAAAATATTGGGAATTTCACTCTATATCAGGCTTCAGGTCTTGTAATTTTCTCAGTGTTTTTAATCCTTTGCTATAAAAAAACAGGTCTTGTTGTTGATTGATATTAGTATATAAGATATTTACTTACTTGGTTAAAATGATAATTGTTGTGCAATAATTTTATATTTTTCACTGGTGACGAGTTTGAGCAAACTGAAAGAAGCTTGTTATTATAAAATCCGATTTAAACTTTGATATCACATACAAAAGCACCGTCAAATGTAAACGCTTATTCGGCAGTTTTTTTATCTGAATTATATCAGGACCGTTCGCAGAAATCGCCCGAGAAAAACAACAACACATTTTAAAGATAATTTTTTAGTTTAAGGCGTAATTATTAAGTTAGATATTTGATATGTCCATTTTTATTTTAAAAAAGGTGACAAATTCAATCGATTTATCAAAATTTAAAAGAATAGATTTAAATTAGCATCGTTGACATTTTATGAGCCAATAACCCTATGCAATACAAAATTTAAGTGGATACATTGTTACCTGTAAAAGATGAGGATTCAATTTTTATTCTTTGTACAAAAAACGCAGCATCCAGTACCAGTACTTTGAACCTGGATTTTCAAAGTTTAGTTTCTTGTGCGATAAGTGTCGGTTTCGAAAAACTGTAAGTACTAGTAGATAGTCAAAGGGGGTATGACTACAAAAATCCGACCATAACCTCAATCTTTCATTCTTGACACGTGGTGGATGCGCCGCCGTTGACACGAAGGTGGATGCATCGTCGACGCCATCTTGTCAAACGTCATGGCGCCATCTAGCGTACATAGTGTGAAGTTCGTAATACAGGATGCTGTAGTTGGGGGCCCACAGGGCTCCGCCCCCCAAAAGGGGGCCCACAGGGCTGCGCCCCCCAAAAAGGGGCCCCCGGATTTTACTATGGGTACCAGAAAAAGGGGTGGGGGGAAATGTTTTCCCGCCATCATGTCAACCGTCACCTGGCAAACGTCACCTGTCAAACGTCACCTGTCAAACGTCATCTGTCAAACGTCACCTGTCAAACGTCATCTGTCACATATGATGACGTCATACCGGGTTATTGCGGTGAATTCTTGTAATTACAGGTTCCTGTAATATGGAGTTTGCGTGGAAGGGATTGTTCCGAGTCGTTTCGAAATCGCTACGTATAGTTAATTATGGTTCGGGGAATCACAGGTTCCTGTAATATGGAGTTTGCGTGGAAGGGATTGCTCCGAGTCGTTTCGAAATCGCTACGTATATTTAATTATGGTTCGGGTTCTGTGATGACGTCATAGCGCCCTGGGTCACGTCCGTGGAGTCATTTAGAGTACATAGTGCAAAGTTTGATTCAGGGTTCGCGTTCTGTGATGACGTCATAGCGACCTGGGTCACGTCCGTGGAGTCATTTAGAGTACATAGTGCAAAGTTCGATTCATGGTTCGGGTTCTGTGATGACGTCATAGCGACCTGGGTCACGTCCTTGGCGCCATCTAGAGTACATAGTGCAAAGTTCGATTCATGGTTCGACCTGGGTCACGTGGGTTACGTCAGTTTGTGTCGGTGGCACCATCTAGCGTACATGTGACAAGTTCGATGTGTCTTATAACAGGATGCTGTGGTGGTGACGTAACTATGAGGGTCCAGCAGCTAGCTTCATGTTGTACCTGGTAGAGGGTGTTCGAACTCAAGGATGAAACACACCTACAGGATTGCTTATTGACCTCGTGTGTTACCATTTACGACGTCATAACTAAGCCATCAGCTGTTTAAACAACCTACGTCAAGGCGAGAAATAACATGCTGCTTACGTCACAACTGGTGATTTAACGTTGGGGAGAGAGTGGATTTGTTCCACACAGGCCTTATGAGGATAGGCTATCCTGTAGTAGTAGTGTGTATTATCCTTGGTTGGAACCAACATTTGATGGGGAAGGGGCCTCGTTTTTTTTTTTTTTATTAAAAACATACATTTTTTAAGACAACGATTTCAAAAAGCGAATATTTTCCATCAATAAACTGCTTAATGATCTAATCATTTTGGTGGTACGTCTTGGGAGAAACACTGCGTTGTCGTCAAATTCAACGAGTATTTCAAATCCATAGCTAAAAATATGCCACAATTGTATCGATTACCTAAGTATATAAGATATTTACTTACTAGGTTAAAATAATAATTGTTGCTCAATAATTTTATAATCCTCACTGTGACGAGAAAGAATACAACACTGTGGGCACCCCTTTTAATTCGAACTTCGCTTGACATCTGTTGATCTACCTTAATTTGTATAGTTTACTGGTTCCAGTAAAGATTTGCAATTATTTTGAGGTCTGTATCGTAGAAAATATTGGGTACACTCACTTTCTACGAGGACTTATAATTTTCTCAGCGTTTTTGATCCTTTGTTATAAAAAGACAGGTCTTGTTGATTGATTTCAAATCCATATCTAAAATATTCCATAATTGTATCGATATTAGTAAGTAGGTATATAATATATTCACTTACTTGGTTAAAATGATAATTGTTGTGCAATAATTTTATAGTTCACCGAGTTTCAAACAAGTCTAAAAGAGCTTAGTTATTATAAAATCCGATTTAAACTTTGAAGTAATCACATACAAAAAACGCTGCCAAAATATTGGGAATTTCACTCTATATCAGACTTCAGGTCTTGTAATTTTCTCAGTGTTTTTAATCCTTTGCTATAAAAAAACAGGTCTTGTTGTTGATTGATATTAGTATATAAGATATTTACTTACTTGGTTAAAATCAAATTAATTGTTGTGCAATAATTTTATATTTTTCACTGGTGACGAGTTTGAGCAAACTGAAAGAAGCTTGTTATTATAAAATCCGATTTAAACTTCGAAGTATCACATACAAAAAACACCGCCAAACGTAAACGCTTATTCGGCAGTTTTTTTATCTGAATTATATCAGGACCGTTCGCAGAAATCGCCCGAGAAAAACAACAACACATTTTAAAGATAATTTTTTAGTTTAAGGTGTAATTATTAAGTTAGATATTTAATATGCCCATTTTTATTTTAAAAAGGTGACAAATTCAATCGATTTATCAAAATTTAAAAGAATAGATTTAAATTAGCATCGTTGACATTTTATGAGCCAATAACCCTATGCAATACAAAATTTAAGTGGATACATTGTTACCTGTAAAAGATAAGGATTCAATTTTTATTCTTTGTCCAAAAAACGCAGCATCCAGTACCAGTACTTTGAACCTGGATTTTCAAAGTTTAGTTTCTTGTGCGATAAGTGTCGGTTTCGAAAAACTGTAAGTACTATTTTTAAATATCTAAGTGATGTAGGATAAATCATGCCCTGAGACATATTTTAAATTAACACAAACCTCGATTATTGAATTATTTTTATTTTCCTTAACACATAAACATATTGTTTGTTTTTTAAAAATACAGACAACCCTGAGTACCTATTTTTTAATTTAATTCCAATAGTTTTTTTCGGAGCAACTTGAATTTACTTTTACACTTACATTTGCACAAAACTCAAATTTCTTTTTCTAAAATTTAGGTAGGTTCTTTAACCAATTTAAACTGGTTTTATTTTTTCATTTATTTTAAAACAAACCTCCATAAACAGCGAATTTTTAAAATCGTTCACCCAGGAAGGAGATAACCTGAAACGTCATTGGGATTGCTAATCATCTTCCAAGATCTGTAACCAGTGTGGTGGGATTTTTAAAGCAGAGGGGGCTATCCAACACCATCAAAACACCCAGCTCCAAGAGAGCCTCCAAAACGAAAGGCTGGAGATCCCACCGCCCCCATGATGAAGCAAGCTAGACTTTTGCTGGTAAGTTGACATTAATCGCATTTTTTAAATCTAATTTAATTATTTTCAGGACCTTCAATATCAGCCACATGCCGGTGGTGTGAGGGATTGCGACTTTGGAGGCACCGATAAATCAATGGGTTGGTCATCTTCAGTGTCTCTAGCACCGAGCCAACACCTGGTGAAGCAGGAGGAAGACGTTAGTCTTGTCAAAACATCTTTCAAGAACCGAATTGAAACATAGCGGCTTTCATCAAAGCAGGAACCCTATCAGCGTGAAGCACGTTTTG